AACTCAAAAAAACATACTTTCAACTTAGCTATCCTATTTTCCTAAGAGAATTGTGAAAAATAGGTCTTATGTTTAGGTTCAATAGTCCATTTTATATCTGATTTTATCAGACTGTTTTAACCGGTTTCGTCACAAATTTTCACAAAATATAACAAAATATCGGGCAAGACCTAAGGCCCGTTTAACTAAATAAAACAGCAGAAACATGAGTCACAATCACTCGTTTTATAATGGAGACCAGACTTATTCTTTGTTCTTGAAGGCGAATAATTTATGCACTTCCTTCTAAAATTCAACAAACATAACAAAACATGAATACAACCAGGGTTCACTCAAGCCTAGTTAGGCATTGGTCGTTTATTTCCGTTTCCGCCGTCCCACCATAACTAGGTACAGTCAGCTTTGCTCGCGGTGTACCAGTAACAAAAAGTATTTTTTGTCAATCGACTTATTAAAAAAATAATATAGTATTTTATAATTAATGTAGTCTTTTTTGTCGTTTAAGACAACGTAAGAAAAGTTGACGGATACCTCTAAAAACAATTATGATTTTTTTTTAAAGTTAAATAAAAGACAAAGTTCTTCTCGACACTGCAATTAGCTGAGGTCCTTCGTACACAAAGCAACGTAAATATTTAAAACTAAAATTGCATCCTCGCGTGCCATTTACATGGTGCAACGTCGACGCGAGTGGTCTACTTGGCTACTGGTTGCGCGCGACTTGCTTTGGAAATGACATTGTATTGAGAAGGTCAGCTTAGCTAAGCGATTAAAATTGACATCGCCTTGTTTACGAAGGGAGTTTTATATTTTTCAATACCTTTTAGTGATGTGCATTTAGATTCTGTTGTATATCACCACGAAGATATTATGCTACGTTCTAAAATTTGTAGTAAGTTGCGGCGTCGCTAATACTTCCGATATATATTAATAAGTGGAATATTAAAGTGTTTTTTTTTTATTTTATAGGAGAAAGAGGTAAATGGGATTTGGATCTGACGCCCGTGGATATCGGACACCAGAGGAACCGCAGACGTGTTTCCTGTCTCAAATAATTTCGTGAGAGACCCTGTCGTAACTGTTTGGAAATACCGTTGAGGACTGCGATGATGTTTTTTCTATATCTTAAAGCTTTGCCAGCTAGATGTTGGGTTCATCCAGTTGCTGAGGTATTTGCTTTTATCATTTAGGTTACAATAATATGCAACTTATAACAATGAAGAGTCATCAGTATGCGTCTATCAGAAAGTCTTAAAAACTAGTTTTTCTTTACAGTCAGAATCAGTGATTAAATTAATTGTTAAAATTCACTGTACACGAGAAAATTTTATTTTGTGGCATATCAAGAAGTTATAGAAATGGCTGTTTTATTTTTTTGATACCTCAAACTTTCTTAATCTAACCGCTGAAACACGTTTTACTTGTATTAGTAAATCAACATTGCAATGGAGTTATGATTGAAAAGTAGGCTGATCAACGAAAGAACCTCGAGGTAAGATCGGTTCCGAAACAATACAAGTCATTGAATATATTGATTAGTCGTTCGTAAGGTACAGTCACCTTCATTCGCGGTGTTCCACATTCAAATCGATATTCGTTTGAGCGTCTTGAAACGATAAAATCACATATTCCAGTATACACAAGTGGAGGGTTCCCATAGTTTTGTTTTTAATTTGAGTAAACATTGGCAGCAATTTATATAGGTGTAATATTTGTAAAAGACGCGGATTTTTAGGTTGTTTTAGGGCTAGACATTTTTTTGATACCTGTAATACCGCAATCGAAGGCAACAGAAAGTGAGTCTGTTTTACGGTCACTGACTACGGCTCCTGCCTTAATGTGAAGGATATCCGTTAGCAATAACGAGTTACAACTTACAATAAATCCTACTAAGCCAGTTTGAATGACCTAAAAGATTTTACTTCAGTAAGTGATGAAACACGAATATTCTACGAATAAATACTTACGCGAAGAATACAATTTATTTTTGTCGGAGTGAAAATATATGTATAGTTAATTTGTTCAGTGATAAGGAGAAGGCGGGTTTCCACGGTGCCTGTTGCTGCGGACGACGGGTCAACCGTAGACACCCAGATGTGTATTCCTGTCTCCAGACGCCCGACCCTTGGGCCGGCATGATGCGCGGCATACCATAACCGTCGGCAATCCGTAGAATCACACACTGTGGAAACCCGTCTTAATATACTGAAATGTATCCGCTAATAACACGTGCTTTGGCTTTTAACTGAAGATCTTTAGGATAGCGACTTCTTGATGACACTAATTTAAGGGTGCAAACCACCAACATCGTATGGGCGCACAGATATTCACTTCGAGAGCAATAGTTAGTTTCCAGATGGAAACATCAACAGGCGTTTGATGTACATCCACATTGAAGCCACAAACATATCACTTAATTTTTCCCTACCTTTACTATATATTATCGATTAGTAGACTAAGGAGATCCTATGGAATAAATTAAAACATCATACCTCTTTTTTACTCGGCAGAAATTATATAGCTACAGATTCTTGGTCTAACAAAGACATTAGTAGAGTCTTAGCTATCAATAGCCTTCTTAGTCCAAGGAAGGTAGAATGATATTTTAATTTTCTATAAATACCCACCACACATCATTAAAATGTAGTTACTAAAGTTCAGTTTTGTAACTCGTTATCATTTGGCTTAAGTTTTAATCTTTTTAGGCTATCAAATACTAGATTTTTTTAAGTCCCAATAGTTATTCCTAAGATAAGCGCATACAACATTTTCAGCTTCATTTATTGAAAGAGTTCCTGAGATCCTCTTTCACAGGGTTGATCCAGCTTGGACGTTGGTTTGCTTCTCACCACCGTCCTAATATTTGCGTCGACGAGGAATGGATATACTCAGAGAATTCCATCTGTTCCTCGCATAACGAAACCTATTCCGTTTGTTCAGTGTCGTAATGTATTAAATAAGCTATATGATTTGTTATGTGGATATTGAAAATTCAAACAAAACTGCTCTTTTATATATCAGTACTGACGTTACCTATAAACCATAATATCAGAGGATGATAGGCAGTTTACAGATATTTTAGTAGGTAGTTCGGAAATTGCGTTAGCGACGAATATCATTATTGCTTTATAGAATCATATCACCAGCTCACTATACGTCCCCACCGAGGGGCTCGAAGCCTACCCTTATAAGGGATGTCTAGGCCCTAGTCAACCACGCTGGCCCAGTGCGGGTTGGTTGACTTCACACATATCTTTGAATTTCTTCGCCGATATGTGCAGGTTGCATCACGATGTTTTCCTTCACCGTAAGAATCGGTAGAACATAATGCATACCAGAGCTGCTATTATTATTTTTATTTGTAAAAAGACGTCAAGTAGTAAGGGAAATTGTAATACCTAAAATTTATAAAATTCAGTTTAGGCATTTTTATTTCCCTTATCCATTAATTTATCGTAAAGTGCGATTTAGCGAGTAGCCGCAACCGAAGAGCAAGTACGCGTAGATGTATCCGTAGTCTCTGCCTACCTGTCTCTTTAAAAAGCGTCAGATTTCCTATCTAGTCTTGTGAAATTCCAGGCCTATGTGAGTTTGTCGAGGTTAATAACATTTCTTAGACTATTGATACTAATTTTCAAATCTAAAAGGATATTTTTGACTTGACTATATCATAGAAATTTATTTGTTTAGAAAAAATGTAGCAATTAGTAAATAATGCTTGCAGTTTAGATACAATGACAAGTATTTTGCTTGTGCTAAGTTTCTTATTGAAAGGAGAATAGTCATTTTAGTTCAACCGTCAATACTATATGATAAAATGAAATGATTTCATAACTACATTTATTAAAAGACTATACTTACCAACACAATTATATAATAACGACCATCACTATATCTGTCTTAAAGGACAGCAGCCTTTTAAGGATATTAGGTCCTATTTTGTTGTCAAATACCAACATTTTCTCGGAACCAACGAAAGTAACGTTTTTTTGGTATATTTTAAAGCTTATGAGTAACCATGGGTATAAACATGAAAAAAACATTTAGAAAAAAAATAAGATTAAGAGAGCATTTACGCTTTTTGGAATGAAAACCTTGTTTTTTTGTAGTACTGTCATGATAAAAAAAAAGCATATTTTAAGTACAGTCAGGTTCATTAGCGGTCTTCCAAGTTAAAAGTGAATGTCTCGAAACATAAAGTCAAGTCCTAGGCCGTGGGTCATATACTGTTTATCACAAAGTGCTACCCAACTCAACAGGACTGCAGAGGAATCCAGTTATTTCTGTCAACACAACCCCATTTTCTTTTATTTTGCAGTGGTGCAGTTTAATATACGATGTACAAAACATTTTTTTCTGTAACTGGACTACCGCAAATGTAGGTGACTGTACCTCAAACCTCCATAGGATACTAAATTACTATTAAACTGTTTGCCCTACCCTATTATTTCTCAATATGTACATAAGAAACTGTTTTATAATGCTTGTGAAGATATCTAGAGCTGTTTTAAGCCAGTTTTTGTATAAAATAAGGTTTTTTTAGGTTGTATTTATGTACAGAAATTATATAAGATCCTATAACAGATATGCTATATGCATAGATTTAATAATCTTTTCTTTTCATGAGACCTCCGGAGTCTTAGGACAGCCATAGAAAATAATTTTATACAATACCATATACTTTGTTTTTATAATGCATTTGTTGTTATTTTAGACAACTTTTTTTCCAATGTATTGATTTGAAAATTCCTTCACAATAATATAAAATAATGAAATCCAGCAGGGTTTTTTGAAGGCATTTAAGTGAGTATTTTTCACATTATTTTCAGTGATATGCCATAATTATTTGTGTTAAGTGTGTGTATACTTTGTAATGATGTTTTTCTATAAAGAAAGTATTATGTCATAATTCATTTATTTAATATCTTATTCTACTTATTAACTTTTATTTAAATTTAATTTTTTTTTGTAGATGTCTTATTTTTTTGTTTTTTTTTTTATTTTATTGGCTATATAATATATTTAGTATTTTGTATATATCTGAGAAGGTTACATATAGCTACCTGAACGCAATGAAAGCATCTCCGAGTTCGCCTCCTACGATGTGTACACCACCCTCGGGAATAGAAAGGCCCCGAAAGAAGTTCCTAATGTCCAGAGCGTTGGCTGACCATGGAAGGTTCTGTAGTCTAATGATGACACTCATTGTTGCAGCTGTGAGATCCAATTACCTATAAAAAATTAAAGGATCCGTTCCATTTTTCGTTTTGTGTTTTTGATTACTTAATATTTAGCATTTTAAATTATTTTTCGTTTTACTCACATACAATTATGCATTGGTGAAATAAATTTAGGAAGGTTCACTTAACATGTATGTGCTTTCTCTCCTATGTTAGCTTAATTTTGTAAATGTAACAAAAAAAAAATGTTGACATATTCAACAACACATAAAATCGTCTAAGTAATTACATATATAAATGAAAAGTTATTGTGCTTAGGTCAAATGGAAACATCTAAAGTAATTTAAAACAGTTTCTAAGTAGATCCAAGTGATTAAGGGAAAACCAACTTATAAAAACCGAGACAACAGATACAATCAGCAAAAAATGCCGATCGAAGGCTCGAATGAAAACGAATTAGAAATACCTATGTTTGTTATTTTCCAGGTTTGAGTTATTAACTAGTGTAAATAAAGAAAACCGTTATACATAATAGTATAGTTACATGAAGGAGGCGTACTGCAACTCGCAGATATAGGAAATTTTAAAATAACCGTTGTTCAATAATTGCACCTTTATACTAAAGCTTTTCTTTATAAAAACGCAATCGGATTATTGTAACGAATACTGATCAAGAAAATGAGGACACGATACAAAAGATAGATGATATGCTTAGAAAATGTTTCAGTGCGCCATGTAATGTAACCTAGCGCTCCGGAATAACGTTTCACCGACTTACCTATAATGTTTTACGAATTAAGTTTCAAACGCGTAAATATAAGATTAAAAACATATTCAAACACAAAAACACTAATACATATAATAAATCATCACATACAGCTTATAATCATCTATTTAATTATCACACCGCGAAAAGGCGGACGAAAACACAAAATGGCGGCTGTCTTAAATTAAAAAGCGATAGTGTTGCCTGCCAATGAAAATTTTTACCCAGCCATGTACATTGTGTAAAAAAGATCTGTTTTTAGGGAGGGAAAAGATAATCAGTGGCCGTAGCACTATTTAATTTTGAAATTCTCTCTTTCTATGTTTTATAAAAAAGTAGATACGAAGAGTAAATAAATCATTATTCGCAGCACAAACTGGCATAAACCATTGTTTATCGATGACTATCTTCAAAATATTCAATCAAAAACTATTTTAAGATGATTATATTAACGAAAAATAATTAATTACATTAAGTTACTAAAAGCCATATAATCTGTTATGGTTTTGGGGTTGCGGCAGTTCACCGTTAAATTTGTAATTTATTGGATCGAAAGCCGTAAAACACGGCAATTGGTCTAGCTTTGGCAACACCAAAGCAATGCTTTTGACCATAGAGTAGATCAAAGAGTATATATAGTCGGCCAGTTTTTATAGGTTTTTTGACATCTTGTCTTTGTTTTTGACATTATTTCTTATAATCTGTCAACGAATTTTATCTCCTCTACCTCTACTCTCTGGTACAAAACTGTATCAAGAACAGCGGTTGTCATTAATTGTTCTATTCTGTTAATTCTTTAAAATTATTGTAGAATAGTATTTAAAAATAAGTCTCTACGATTTTATACAATAACATTGTAAGTATCAATCAGTCTTTAATAGCAATAGCAAATAACTAACCTTCAGCTTAGTGCATTTTTCGTTAAGGGACTGTCAAAGTTCCACGTAAATATTTCTGCCTTTTCTATTAATTTTTTACGTTTAAGTTGATTTTGCAACAGAATTACTTATGACACAAAAAATAATAATATATTACAAACAATTTGTGTTAAGCAATTAATAAATAAGGGACTTACTTTAAATCCAATATGATTTCCTAAGGATTCCTATTTGGTACCTTGAAGTAAATCAATAAAAAATCTATTGAACTTATATACATTTACTATAAATATACATTTTAGTATATTTCGCGTAGCCATGTTCCATACTTGTAATAAAATCCCCCATTTTATTATTTTGTATACTTTTAAGTTTTATAACATTATTGTTGTTAAAGAAAGAAACCACACAGTCTCCTATAAAATATGTATATTAAACATTAAATTACTAAGAAATGAAATATTTTTATTTTCGTTATTACAGTTTAATTCCTTCATATGAAATAATTTATGAATTATTTTTTTCCAGGTATAAGAAATTGTAAATAGATTGTTTAATCTCATAATGAAGTTATAAAACGATTGCTCAATATAAAGTAGCAGTGTAGGTGTTATAATTGTTTTAACAGTGTAGACAAATCTGATAAATGTGTGAGAGGTACCCAGGACACTTTTTTGGCACTCCTGTCACAGGCTGGGACAGGGGGTACAACCCGTTGGAAAATGTAAGTATACAATAGTTTAACACATTTTAAAATTGGCAAGCAAACAAGCGGCCACCTGAATTTGGCAAGAAGTGACCTCTTGCTCATTTACCTTGGTCATTTACATTTACGGCAAAAGTATGCAAACATTGCAGTATTTTAAAGAAGTAGCCTCTAATAATTGCGCATACTTCAGATACCTTCTACTGAAAGTGCCATTAAAATTGGTCCAGTCATTTCTGATTGTCTTAAACAAGCACAGCAGACAGATATCTATTATAAAATTGTTATTATCAGCAATGCAAATATGTCATACTAGCTATCGCCCACTTCGCCTGTGTGGAATTAAAAAAAACAAAGTTCTTCCAGACTATCCTCTAAATCTATACCAAATTTCATCAAAATCCGTTCTGCCGTTTAGGCTACAAACTCTAACAAACATCCATCCATCTATCTAAACTTTCACATTTATAATATTAGTAAGAATTAGTAAGAATTTATAATATTAGTAAGATTAGTAATATATGAATGTATTTTGTCATCTTACTAATATTATAAATGCGAAAGTTTAGACGAGTAGGTAAATGTTAGTATCTATCTTCAGAAAGGCTAAATTAAGTTTATTTTTTAATTCTGTACATAGTTGCAGGCAACACCTATTTTATTATATGAATAGATTTTACAATGTGTAATTTTTTATCTTGCTATGTACAGTATAGAAGTTAGATAGTCTATTTTTGCTTTTAAATGCTAAGGGTTGCCATGCCAGTGTAGTAAAATGTTGCCAGTGTTTTACTTGAAGCAATAAATATATGAATTTAATTTAAGAATACAAGCCAACTAGTTTTTATAATTAATCTAGTTGGTTGTGAATGAAGGAGAGCTCACTTTTTGTTATTTCTTTGAATGTGATGCAATTTTTTTCAATGATTTTATTAACTTTGTTCTGTTGCTTTGAAACATTTTTTCATTTCAAGTAATAGTTTAGTTTATTCCTGTTGTTTGGGGGATTACAATCCATGTAAGTGTTATAATTTTACAACTAACAATATTGTATAAATATGATTGTTCCCTTCATGTAAAATTTGTATAGATTGTAATGATATATTTTTAAAGTATAGTACAATTTAGGGAATATTACGATATTCAAAATGGTAGTTGAATTTTAATTGAAATTGGTATACAAGCAAGCCGTTTAAATTCGATGAATTAGCAAAGTGAAAGCCGCACATAGACATCCACAAGAAATAACTTAAAATCTGTTATTCAACCTGTCTTAGTTCTCAAAGTTCTCAAAGGGACGTAAGATTTTAAAATCTATTCGTTTTATTATGTGCAAGGTATATAAAATAATTAAAACCATAATAAAAATGGCCACCCTTGACACTGATGACAGATGGCGCGCAAAAAAGCGCGGGAAAACGCGATTATATTAAAAGCAAAGCTAACGACGCACTTGTGATACATTATTAATGAAGGCGGGAGTCTGTGGTGAGTTTGTAAAGTGGCGAGTCCCATTTGCGTTGGAACTCTGCCAGCTACCGATGGTTGAAGATATTTGTAGGCGTGTCGCGGCTTTAAGTGATTCTTTGCACTGTTTATACTAAGCCCACGGCATATCTTATCGAAAATAAACCTTCTCGCCCCATAGACTACAGGACTTCATATGTATGGTTCGTATGGAAGGGCTATAGAGATTATACAAGCGCTATAAAGAACTGTGGAAGTATCTACGGAGCCCTATTTTTTTATTTGTGGGAGTGGGGATGTAAATAGTTATGTGTGTTTGCAGACCTACGCGTCCTTTTATGTCCAACGCCCTGGGCGGTTATCCATCTGCAATAAACCCCTACGTTGGATTTGCATAGTACTTTTGCTTGAAGTTTTATTGTTTTTTAAACTTTACTTAAACTATTATAAGTTATTCCTGTCTTGTTCTCATTCATCTATGATGTATTAGTGTTACAAATGGGGCGCATTAGCGTATGTTAGAGGTCAAGGTCATTTCGCCCCACTTTTTTTGGCCGAATGCCTGAAACCGAAGTTGCGATATTTTTCGCGTTTGAATTTCGTTTCCGGATAATGTTGCCATAATGTATTTAGTTGAATACAAGGTAAATAGGTCATAAGTTTACGGCCTATGTTTTCAGGTTTTGTTATATGTTTCAATAGTCTTGTCTTTTGCGTGAGTTTTTTTCTTCAGAGGTCTAACTCTTTATTATAGTAGATTGCTGTTACATTGTTAAAATCTTTTTAAACTTGGCTAGCTTTCATATCTTACGTTAAAAAGTGAATCTTTTGTATTAATTTGGCACACGTTTGGGATAGAACGTTTGTGTTCCAGTTTTACAATGTTCTATAATTTGTATGAAGTTGTTTTCCGCAATCACGGTAATGTCTTAATGGATTATACTAAGAGATATAGGATACCTAAGGAGTAAAAGGATAGGATTGATGGGCTTGTTGTGAGGAGGGAAGAATCACAAACAAGAAGAACGTTAATTAGGAGTGGGGAGGTACACCGGTAGAGGTAGGCCTAGAAAGAGGATACATTGATTGAAAGGTAATATGATCAAGAACGGAGTGATGATTGAGATGACATAGTCATCTGGGCGAAAACCTGTCGCGCCGACTTTACGGGAGTAGGATAGAAGGGGGGGGGAAGGGAAAGATGACGATTATGAAGAATACATTTCGGTCTAAAAAAGATCCAAGCCTTGTTTAGTACAGTCGTGTCAGTAAGCAAGCGAGTGTTTACTGATCACAGACGTGTCAAGTGCAGATTATACTTGTCTGTACTTCGTGACACATTTTCTTCTCACTAATAAGTTACAAGCGACTACCGAAGTACGATTGTAGATTGTCAGGAAATTTGAGCAAGTAATCTACAAAAAACTACCGACTGGCCACTAATTAGTAGCTAGAATATTCGCCTAGTGCTTCATACGAGGTCAGCATTGAGTACCTCTAGAAGTTCGAGAGACCGTGAAGTTTGAGAGGCTCGTGGGGTTAAAACAATACAATATTTGACCACTAGCTGTCGCCCGCTACTTTTCGTGAAAGGAAAACTTCACTAAGTTATGATATTCTAGGTTGTATTCTTTTTAAATTCTAAACTTATCGGTTCTGCTGTTTGCAGTAAAGTGCATAAAAATTAAGCTTTTTGTAAGTTGTTTTAAAGTTATAAAATACTAGCTGTTACTCGCGATTTCGCTCGCGTGAAATACAAAAATACAATTCTTTCCTCTTTATAATGATAGTATAGGTTAAAATGTTTTACCTGTCTATCTCAATTAGGATAGATAGCGATGTTTTTTATTAGATGTTCTGTTGCGGAAAGTTAAGTATGAAATGGGTCGGCAGCGATATGGGTCATACAGACTAGTAATTGAAATGTTAACTCGCCATGCTCCGAGCCGATGCAAGTTAAAAAATGCAGCGAAATATATTATACATGTCATTCTTTTTGTTGGAAAGTTAAACAGGGAACTTTTATACGTTGAATTATCTCTTTGTAATGAGTCCTATGAGGCCAGGCTTTTGAGATCAATTTTAAATAATAAAAGGGTTAACACAGTAATGTGTATCGTATTATGTAGTCCCTTAGTGAAGAATTCAGGAACTTTGCTTATTTGTTGCTTTATACTATGGGCGTCCACAGCTGATAACGTAGGCTAGGTCTATAAGGCAGATGTCCTATCATGCCCATGCCTTATAGGTAATATAAAAGGATTCTTCTGGTAACCAATGAATGTTGTGTTACAGCAAATCCAACAGCAATACCGAGGTCGTGGTCCCGGACTGGGGCCGGGTTTGGGGCCGGGGGCACGCTGCTGGGGCAGTATGTCGGAGGGCGGCGGCGTGGCCGCGGCTGCCGATTGCAGGACCAATCTCATCGTCAACTACCTGCCGCAGACAATGACGGAGAAGGACCTATACGCGATGTTCATGACGATCGGACCTATAGAGAGCTGTCGAGTTATGAAGGACTTCAAGGTGAGGGTACAGTTGCGGAAATACGCAGTGGTCTATTTACATAAAAATAGTATTGTTTTCTACAAACTTCGCCTCTTACAAAAAAACAATTAGCGTAGTGAGTTGCGTAAACGATTGGCAATAAATAATACTGTTCTACTGTGCATTCTACCCTTGTGTGAAACTTTACTGTATGCCGACATCAATCAATTGGAGTACTGCAGCGAGTTAATGATCTATTGTAGAATAGATAACATTGTATATGTAAAATCCGGCATAACAGTAGCAAGATAAGGGTACAAATGTTATTTCGGGACATCTCTGTAGTGCATTGATAATTTAAACCACCAACGTTGTTAAATAATTTTGTACATAACTGCAGTTGTTTCAGACTTAAAAGTACAAGTATATAACTTATATAATGAATGCAAAAGTTTGAATGGATGGATGGATGTTTGTTAGTGTTTGTAGCCTAAACATGTCTGCCTAACATAGATGTAAATGATAGTTTAAAGAACACATAAGTTACTTACTATTTTTTTTTCCTTTCAACGCGGACGGAGTCGCGGCTAAAAGCTAGTATTAAGCTTTAACACTCTAATGTCAGGTTGACTTAAGTTTCAACTAATAAACCAAGTTACGTATTTAGGAAACGTTTTTATGTAGTTATCGACCCAAAAACACTTATTAATGTTTAAATGTAGCTGGGAAATCGGCCATAAATACCTTTTTTACCTATTTTCATAGGAAATCGGTACATTGTGTTAATTAAAATGTAACATGTTTCCAGACTGGTTACAGCTACGGGTTCGGTTTCGTGAACTTCACGCGGGAGGAGGACGCCGCGCGCGCTATCGACACATTCAATGGATACCGCCTCAGGAATAAAAGATTAAAGGTGAAATATAGTCTATAACACTCTCGGATAATCTAGCTATCTAATTCTGAAAGAATTTTCCAAATCCGCCCTCTAGTTTTTGAGTTTATTTATAACAAATAAGAAATAAAAAAGTTAAATTTCACCGTTTTACTTCAATGTTGTAACTTTTTACCAAAGTGAACGAGCGAAACAGCAATAAGTTACGTAATTTCAGCGCCAATAATTTGGGGTACTGAGTTCCGATCTTGCGGTCGAAGGTTCGAATCCCATTTGACTATTGTGAACCATATCCTAACACAAGCCTACGCTTATTCGGAGTGATTAAAGGAAATATTAGTAAATTAACAAAAGTCTACTAACATTTGTAACAAAAAAATAAATACGATAGTAGATTGTGTTTGGCAAACATTGGTTGTGTTGGTATGAGTTGGTGGTGTGTGGCAACACAGGTGTCATACGCGCGTCCCTCCGGCGAGGACATAAAGGACACCAACCTGTACGTCAGCAACCTTCCGCGCGCCGTCACCGATGAGCAACTGGAGACGATATTCGGCAAATATGGCCGCATCGTGCAGAAACATATCCTCCGGGATAAGAACAGTGGCACG